CCCCCCCCCCCCCCCCCCGTCTGGCACCTGTCTCTGGTGGGGCTACATGGCTTCTCCCTGACTCTGCCTATTCTCTCTCTATACCTTTTCCAGCCTGGCTATATTCTGTTAAGCCATTAGCCGAAAGCAGCTTCTTTATTCATTAACCAATAAAAGCAACACATATATAGGACTTCCCACACCAGGCTTCTACCAAGTTCACGCAAATGTTGCGCAGGCAACGTTGGGACATCTGAGCATCCCACACCAGCACGTCTGAGCATCCCACAACTGAATCTATTCAGCTATCCATTTATCACTTCCTGGCCATCCAAGAAGCATATCTGCACATTCAAGTGTAAACACAATGGAAATTCCTGGGGAAAACTTGGGAGGCAAATCCAGACCTATTTCCCCTTTCACCGTGTGAGGAGCAGGGGAAGAACACACACATTCACACTTGGTTGGATATACACGCTGTCACGATTTGTGAAGAGCCACCAAGAGGAAAGGCGGTGGCCTACGACCTAGACAGTGGAGCGAGCTTTCCCTGTGGCAGCCCTGCTCTCTGCACAGGCCCCACACCAGTCTGGATTGCTACTTGGTTGGTATTTTCCCTAAAGAGAGCTCTCACATTGCAGAAATTCCGATCCTAGGAGGCTTTGGCCTCTTCCCTGGGTGCGCGTCAATGTGAAGGGTGATGTGGGGTTTCTTACTGTCAAGATCAGGGAGGAAGGAAGGAGACATGAAGCTTGTAGAGCAGGCTGGCCCAGAATATGCAGAGGCCTATAGAACGTGGGGGAGGGTGAAGGACACCCAAGGAGCTGAAAGGTTTGGCATGGGCTTGGAGAGTGAGCACACAGTGAGACACACTTGGGGGGGGGCACTATAAGGCTTCATTTGATGGCATCAGACTAAGGGCAGGGGCAAACCACTGAAGAGTGGACTGAGGTGGAGCTGGCGAGAAAAAAAAATGCTATCTGTGTCTGTGAGATTGTTTAGGGCCTGGTGGACTGGTGCATTATTTGGGGTGAAAGATACAAGCAGCACTTTAGGTTTGAGCTGTAGGAAGCAGATGAGTCGAGTGGGTATCTGATGAGAGGTAGGGCCAAAGAGAGCAGAAATGACCCCACAATGACCCACCTGAGGGAGGAGGGGCAGCACTCACTCTATTTGCTTCCTGT